TTATCAGTGTCAAGCTGAGTCCAGTATCGTTTTCTAAGCCTGATCACTGCATTATCATTTATTTACACTTTGCACTGACGCAATTCAAGATAATTCACAAGCTACCTCGAAGCTCCATCAAAATCTTTAGCAATAAGCACCTCCAAGCCACTAACCTCAACCCGATGCCCTTGCCTACATAAGACTATTTTGCTGTCCAACGGTTTTCGCTCAGGGATTTTTCTACCACCATCACTCAGATTCTAGCGTTTTTTCCCTACGGAGACATGAAGATAATCACACTGCTTTCACCTATCTCGTCGAGATAAAAAAAGATTCTCTTTATGGATCTACTCTGATTTTGAGTTTTTCTTCACTCATTTCTTCCAGAGTGATCAAGGTAACGAACTTTTTCATATGGGTCCAGCTTGATTGAGACATTTTTTTTATCAGAAACTAATAGGTGGACTATAATATTGATTGGCTAACTATCGTATTTTGCATGAGTTTGTGACTAACAGATCCAATCAATCACAAGATATTCCTTTGCTATCCGATAATAACATGTCGTATGTTTGAGTCGGATCTTTATTGCCAGAGCCGGCTGTAGGACCATTTAGTTCTTATAGGATTCGATGCATTTCGGTGGTAGATATTAAGTCGGATTTATCACGAAATCGATTGTCATGAAGCAAGACGGATTCCGGTAAAGTGCTACTATCGTACTACCGGATAATGTCGTATACGAGCTGATCTTATTATCGAACCTGATAGTTTCTGGGATAGTATATCTCAGAGTTGCAACCGGTAGGATTTTTTCTAGGCCGGTACCGGCACGAGTTATCATTGACTTTTCTCATCTAATATAAGTCATATCTAACTTTGAACTGCTACAAAAATTATTTAAGACTTCTCGTTCATCAATAAGGAGCGCCTTCATGTGACATAATTATAGATGAAAACTACAGCATATGTTAAGAAACTTGGTTCTATCTTCGTAGCTGACTCTAAGAGTCGTAAAAAACCTGCCTGTTGATACTCTCTTACTCGGACGATTGAGATTTCGATGTTTAAACGACTTGATAGCTGTTCTGATCTCTGGAATTCACTCTCGGTATGATCTGCAATCGACATAATTAAGTTCCTAAAAGATAACGCCAAAGGCTGATCATTTATACTGATTGAAAGGTTACACTAAAACTATTTTTTTATAAATTATTGGTTGTACAGAGTCAAGTATTAAAATCTGTCAGTATAGTAGTTTTGATTCATTTCATTCGAACTATCTGGTAATAAAGACCGAATGCTTCACTCTACACTGTAAAAAAAAAGTAAAATAATAAACGTAAAAAGGGTTTATGAAAGTGCAACGTGTAGCAAACCCTTTTCAAACGTTTATCAACGAGTCATAAACCCGGTTATAAACCCTCTAAAAAGGGTTTAATACGGAGTTTATTATCGTTAAATATGCTTTCTGGAAGGTTTATTGAAGGGTTGATCAGATTCATAAATGTTTAAAGGAATTGCGACACGTTGCACTTTCATAACCCCCTGAAAAGGGTTTATAATTCACATAAACGTTCTCATATAACCTTCGAAACTCGGTCTAAAAAGGGTTGATTAAAATACTATACCCATGAGCCCCTCTCAGAAACGCTATTGAAAAGCGTTTATGGACATCATGAATGGTCGCCAGCGTTTGTGAGAGGGTATATGAAACCGATTATGGACCTCATCAACTGCCTCAAGGGTTTATGATAAGATTTATGAAGGCGATTGTGGACATCAAGTATCGTTTTCAGGGAGAATATTAGGATAAATAGAGTGATTCAAGAGTACAATGTCCTACTTACAGGAGTTGAAGAATAACTGAATACTTTGTTTTTCACCTCGATTGATGATAGACAAATGTCTACGAAGAGAGATATGCTGAGTAATTTGTAGCTTTTATAATTATATGTATCTAACACTCGCTATCTATGGCATTTAATAATAATTAACAAGAGGATCGTAGACTCCCCGATACTGGAAGAAACCATATCCGTTATTTTCTCTACGTTTTGAGCTTCATATTTGTCGAAACTCTTACTCGATCTTCTCTTAGAATCCAATACTCACTCAGTGGGAAACGAGCGAAACTAGAAAATCTGAAGATAATTCGATCGAGAATCAAAATCTAGCATGACCACGGGAGATAAAAAATCAAGATGATTAAAATGAATCGTAGGAATCTCCTTCTAGCAGCGACTAATCAATATAAACAGGATAGCTAAATTAACATAAAACTGAGGAGTGAGTAACTTAGAGAAATGATTTTAAGTAGTTGCTTCAGATGAATTCTCTGTGATGTCACACGAAAACTTTTATTCACTTCAATTGACGTTGGCCACTTGCAATATTTTCACATAAGATATCAAGCAAATAGTATTTGTAATTCAGCACATTCTTCATTTACTTTGAAGACTTTGTTTGACGAAACCTAAACATAAAAGCGTGAGTTATTAATAGATGACGATTTTCTCTTCAAAAAACTCTGATTAAATTGAAAACTTACTAGAAATCAGTACATTACAGCAACCAATTGACAACAATCGCTGACGTGCATTGTGAAACGCATCTGAAAGTTCAAAGTAACTGCCACTCACCCATAAGCGAAACCTTTCTATTGAATCCATGATCGTAATTCCATTAATTGATAAAAGAAATCAAACGCAAAGATCTAAAAGAAAAAATATTAAAAAGTGAGCAAAAATCGAATATTAATAACATATTATAAAGCACTCAATTTATCAAGTATCTCGTCTGAATATATAAAGGGTGTGCACCTTCATCGAAACATTAAATTTATACATGAAATGCTGTTTTCAACCACATAATACTACTGCTCATTCGCTGGGGAATCTTTGATAGATACACTCCCCTCACTAATACGACGGCTACTTATCATCAAAAACAAATACACAGAACCCATCCAATTCATTGTTTCTTTCTCTCCTTCGCCCCTGATCAATGCCTTCCATAAAAAAATAACGTCAGCACCTTACGAAGTAACTAATGGCTTCTCTAAAAAAAAAACTCAGTTGGAAAAAAAATAATCATCTTATTCTGGTTGAAAACAAATCATATCATTCTGTAGTCATCAACTGTAAAATACAACTAGTCGGTCAAATTATACACAATTTTGTTTACTAATCTATTTGTATTAAACGGAAAAAGCTCCATCACCCTAAAGAAATACGAGCCTGTCTATACTTTTCTTAGGAACCAAACACAATCTCATAAAATAACTGACGCTTCAACTCCAACCGATTAGAGAAACCACTGATGTCTACCGATAAATTGTGAATGTAAATGTTTTCGTGATGATTTACAAAGTTCACCTTTTTTGAATCGATAGATAAAATTAATATATGAAGGAATCTTTTCACATAGGAACACAACCTTCCACTTATTTTTCGATATGGATGAAGCGAGATGAAATGAAACATCATACTTAAGTTATAGTGAGTCGGATAAAGCATTGACTTGAAGTAATTCATTGGTAATGAGTACACATTCATACCAGTTCCCATACGTTCACCTCTTTACCTAAATAAATAGAACGATTAAATGAAAATAAAACCTTTAATGTACGAAAAACCTTCATATAATTCTCTGGATATGTGAAGAACAAAAATAAAATGAATAATGATACGTAACTTTAAGTGGGCCGATTAAACCGTTGACGTAGACTAATTGATTGAGAATAAGCCCATCTTCTTACCATCTTCTTACCATCTTCTAAAATTCTTCTTGTTTATCTAGAAAGATAAAACGATTATAAAAAAGGAGATCTTTTCATATACGAAAGGGTCGCTGAAATGATTTTCTGAATATGTAAAATTCTCACTTAACTTTCATTCCATTGTGAAAAAAATTGACGCGAAGTGGTGGATTCAAAATGAGCACATGCTCTTACAAGTTCTGAGAACTACTCGTTTTTACCTAGATAAATACAATGCTTGAATGGAAATATATCACTTCACCAAGAGAAAAATCGTTCCGATAATTTACTCGATAGGACACAACAGGATGAAGCAAAAAAATGTAATTAACTTTGCAGTGGATTGTTGAAATGATAGAGATGGACCAATTTATTGAGAACCACCAGTTGTTCACCGTAATTTTGAAAGTTTTCCATTTTTACCTAGATAAAGAAAACGATTATGTAAAACCAAATCTTTTTGTATAGAAAATAGCCGGTCGGATAAATTTCTCGACATAGAAGAAACGAAATCAAGTGAAACGTCATACTTAACTTTCATTCGCTTAGAGACAACATTGATGTGAAGCATTTGGTTAAAAATGAGCCTCTGTTTGCACCACTTTTTAGAAGTCCACTTGATTATTTAGAGGGAAAACATGATCAGATGAAGATGAATTGTTTCATCTAAAACCAAATGATTCAGATAGTTTTCTCGATATGAAAAAAACAAAAACAAAAGAAACTTCATGCTTAACTGGTAGAAATTACATGAAACCAACGACGTAAAGCAATTGATTTTCAATGAGCACCTGTTCGTATGAAATGCAAAAGTTCCGCTTGTTTCTCTAAATCAATAAAATGATTAAATGAAGAAAAATCGTTCCATGAAGGAAAAATTATATCAGATAATTTTCTTAAGCAATAGAAAAACGAAATAAAATAAAATAGCATATCAAAATTTGAAATGGTTAATGTTAGGTCTGACATCTTTACCTAATGTTGGAGGCCAACACTCTCTTGTTGCTTATTTGTTTTTCTCTCGTTCTTGCCCCCCTTTTTGTTTATTGTAAAAGTTAGTTATGTCCTTACATCAATAAAGATAAGTCAGTGACCAGAGACATAAAAAGTGGTGACAGCGGTTATTGAACTCACAATAAACATTTTTTTGTTTGTTTATGGATTTTATTAATAAGCTGGAAACATCCTGGTAAACAGGATTGTTTTTGATCCAAATTACAGTGTGAATTGAAGTGCCTAATGAAACAATATACAGTGGATGCACCATTCCACTCGTTCACATTTAAATTTACAAACGCAAAAAATTTCCGATTTATTATATTATTCTCCACCTCGAACACATAATCTTACTGACTTGTCTTGTAGTCAAACAAGAATTCCTTCATCGTTATCACCAAATTCATTAATAAAAATGACAACATCAGCAATATTATCAGAAGTAGCTGAACAGAGTAAAAATTGTGATCATATAGGTCAAACAGAAAATAAGTTAAATTTACAATCATTAAGAGATCAAGAAAGAATAGCTTTACAATCTATTCATAAAATAACTGATGATGAAATGATTCAAGTTGATCAATGGTTGTCTGTTTTACATAAAACGTTTGAAGATTTGGAATATCCATCAGTACATCGTGTTATTCAAGCAACTACATATTTTAATAATGAATTACAAGTATGGTATGAAGAGACAAAGACTAAAATTAACAATGATTGGACATGTTTTTGTGATCGTTTGCTTCAATATATTCATGATCGTCAAAAGAATCAAATTAATTTTTCATCCACGACCCCTTCGTTACAAAATAACAATGAACCAATATCATTAGAACATCTTATTGATTCACAATTTGATAAATATTCCGGTACAGGAGATGCAAGAGTTTGGCTATTGCAAACGATGAATCAATTTAAACAATGTAGATTACGTCGTCTTGAACAACTTCAAGCCATACCATTTCTATTAGTAGATATAGCTTATTTATGGTATGTTGATAACGTTGATTTAATTATCAGTTTTGAATCATTTAGTAAATTATTTCTTCAACAATTTGCTCCTGTTTCATCAAAGCATCAAGATATTTCTTCTATTGAAAAGGATAAACCATCATTTCTTGTTTCTAGTTCTTTAGCTACATTACATTTACAACAAACGATAGCGGATGAAATTATTAAAAAGCCAACATACTTTCGTGGTTCGAAAGATGATGTTATTGATTGGTTAGATAATTTAGAACAACGTTTTAAAATGGCTCAATGGAATGATGAACAAAAATTACAATATATTACGGTACATTTACAAGATGATGCTCATCGATGGTGGGCACGAGTATCAGGAACGATTACAACATGGTCATCATTTATTGAAGCAGTTACAAAGGCCTTTGGTTCAACAAAAGCACAACAGTTAGCTTTTGAACAGTTGAAATGTTATAAACAAACGGTGAATCAATCTGTTATACAATATTACGATAAAATTATGGAATTATGTAAAAAAGTTGATCTAGCTATGCCTGATTCATTAAAATTAAAATATTTAATGACTGGTATAAGGGATTCATTAAAACTGCATGTAGCTTTACAAGATCCAAAAACTACGGAAATATTTTTATCGATGGCTCGAAAATTAGAAGATACCTTATCACTTACTAGTTCAAATGGCGAATTGCATTCGGATCACATAAATGTAAATGCTGTAAAATTTTCAGAACCATTAGTACGGCCATCTATTCCACAACAATCATTTAAACAAAATCGACCCAATACATCTCCATATTCACCGTCACAACAATTTCGTCCAAATCATGGACATATTACACAAGCTAGGAATCAACCAATTCGAAATTATGCTCTTTCACGATACCCATCGTATACACAACAATCAAATCGTTGTTATAACTGTGGTACACCCGGTCATTATGCACGGGATTGTACCCGCCCCCATTTCGGAGAAGGGAAGCAATGATTGATGGTGTTGCTTCCAATACTTTATATGATAATCCATCGACACCAAATACATCTTTATTATATCTTAATGTTTTTGTAAATCATAAAAGAATGAAGGTTATGATTGATACAGGTGCAAATCGGACTTTTATTTCCATTAAAGCTTTACATCCATTACATGACAAACAGCCTGTTAATAAATTACATCAACGTGTTATTTTAGCTGATGGTTACACATCTCTCTCTATTTTTGGTATATCGAAATTATCTATTATGATGGGTGATATGTTAACGTCTATTAAAGCATTTATTGTTCAAGATTTATGTGTTGATTGTATATTAGGTATGGATTTCATTAATAAATATAAATTAATTATTAACACTGAAAATCAAACCGTATCGATTTGTGCTGATCAAAAACGTAATACCTCAAAATTTGATGTTAACAAAAATTATATTAGTCATCCAGCACGTTTAATTAACACCATTAGAATTCCACCTAAACGAACAGTGTTAGTTCCTGTATCTGTTAGATTGTCACCAGCTAAAGTATTATTTCGTCCTTCTTTTAAATTACAACAACGCTCACCTATTATTATGTTAAACTCTTCACTAGCCATTCATCGTCATACTTCATTTATTTCCCTTCACAATCCAACCACTGATTATTGTTTATTACATAAAGGTATTATCTTGGGAACAACTACTATTCCTACATTAGATGTTAAACATGATCCCGAGATAAATCATCAATTAGTACATGCAAAAATTTCTGATTTACTTCAACATATTACCAATTCTGAACAACAAGACCAGGCTAAATGTATTCTGATTGAACATGCAAAATTATTTGATACTAATAGACCTACAATTGCCACTAATGTTAAACCACATGCAATAAAAACTCTTGATCATCCACCACCAACATCTAAACCATATTACTCTACGCCCAGTAAACAAGAAGCCATGTATAAAATAACGCAGGAATTATTACATTTTGGATTAATTCGACCATCATATTCACCATACGCAGCACCAGCATTACTGGTAGCAAAGCATGATGGTACATGGCGAATGGTAGTCGATTACAAAAAATTAAATAATATTACAATTAAAGATAATCATCCTCTACCAAATATGGAACAAGCAATTCAAGTATTAGGCGGTGGTTATAAGTTCTTTACAAAACTTGATATGAAAAGTGGATTTTGGCAAATACCAATTGAAGATAAAGACAAATATAAAACTGCTTTCGTTACGGCAGATGGTCTTTATGAATGGAACGTTTTAGCTCAAGGATTAAAAAACAGCCCCCCATCTTTTCAACGTGTAATGACACAAATATTATCATCATGTCGAGAATTTTCATTAGTTTATATTGATGATATTATGATTTATTCTCGCTCCTTTACAGAACATTTAAATCATCTGAAACAAATATTATCTATATTATCAAAGCATAATTTTCAACTTAATCCAACAAAATGCAGCATCTTCCAACACCGAATTGATTATTTATCTCATACAATATCTGAACATGGTGTTAAACCTACAAATGAGAAAATTCAAGCCATTATTAAACTACGTGAACCTACAACATTAGCTGCAGCAAATAAATTTCTAGGTGCCTTATCATGGTATCGAAAATTTATACCTAATTTCGCGACGATCGCTGCACCTATTCATGCCATAACAAATTTAACAAAAACACATCGACATAAATTTATTTGGGCTGAAGTTCAATCTCAAGCATTTTTTCAATTGAAGCAATTATTAATTACTCATCCATTATTTCTAGATTTTCCGAATGATGACTATCCTGTTATATTAACAACCGATGCATCAAAATCTGGCATCGGTGGTACATTACAACAAGTTATTAATGGTGAAACAAAAAATTTATATTATCATTCTCAAGTGACATCTTCTACACAACGACGCTATGATCCGATTGAATTAGAAGCTTTAGCAATATGGTTATGTTTTCAACGTATGCGGTCTTATTTATTAGGTCGATCAATTATCATCTATACTGATCACTGTCCGTTGTGTAAAATGATGCAATCATCTGTGAAAAATCGACGAGTTAATCGTATTTCTATATTATTACAAGAATATAACATCGAAAAAATTATTCACATTAAAGGTCAAAATAATTGTTTAGCCGATTATTTATCTCGTCATCCAATACAACAAGATGAAGAAATTTTTGATGAGGATTATGGTATAAGTATGTTATTTCAAGGGGAACCACCCGCGCGGGTGTATGTTCCTGATCACAATCCTTCATTTATCTGTGCTGTCAGCACCCGTTCAAAAACACAACGTATGAACCAACAAAAAAATCCAATCGATTCCATTGATCCCTCTGTTAAAAATGATACATCATTAATATCCAATCCAGATAACGTTGCATATTCACAAGAATATCCGCTACCCTTAATCATACCTAGCAAGTTTGATTTAACTCAAATCAAAATTGAACAATCCAAAGATTTAATTATTCAGGAAAAGATTAAAGAGATTATGCAAAATCCAATGAAACATCCTTATGTATTTCGAGATGGTTTATTATATAAATTAATGTCGAACAATACGGATAGCATCACAAAGACAAAATTAATTTATTTACCTTCATCCATGATTGATGCTCTACTTAAGTCGTACCATAATGATCCACTTGGGGGTCATTTCGGTATCAAACGAACGTATTTAAAAATAAAAAATAAATTCTGGTGGCCACATATGAAACAATCAATTTTTCAATATATTCGATCTTGTTTACCTTGTCAACAACATAATATAAGTCGTTCCAAAAAGCCTGGCCGACTCCAACCGATTTCAACACCCGAAGGTCCGTTTCAATTGATTGGCATTGACTATTGTGGACCGTTTACGCGCACTCCTCGAGGTAATAAATATGTATTATGTATTACCGATTATTTTACAAGGTGGGTGACAGCAATTGCCTTACCAGATTGTTCAGCACAAACAACGGCTCAAGCAATTTTTAACGAATATATTTGTCGATACGGAGTGCCAATCTCTATATTATCCGATCAAGGTACGCATTTTAAAAATCAAATTATGGACTCAATGGAAAAATTAATTGGCTATAACCATATTTTTTCGACTGTTTACCATCCGCAAACTAACGGAATGGTCGAACGTTTTAATGCAACATTTGTGCCTCAACTTGCCAAACTTCAAGATCGTGAAGCTAATAACTGGGACGAATTTTTGTTACCAGTAGTATTTGGTTATAATACTGGTATCCACGCCACCACTAATTATTCACCATTCCAATTACAATTTGGACGTGAACCCCGTCTACCTGCTGATCAACCTTCGACATCTTTTACTTTCAATAAACCAAATGATTATTATGACCAACTGAAAAAGAATTTATTCACAATACGACGACAAGCACGTACATGTAGTGTTGGTCGACAACAACAATACAAAGTTCATTATGATAAACAACGTCCTGATCCTCATTATGAAGTTAATGATTTAGTATTAATTAAGATTCATGGATTGAAAACAAAATTAGAACCAAAATATTCGATTACTCCAAAAATTATTATTAAAACACAACATCCTACGTATTGGGTCAAAGATGAACATACACAAGTAGAATCTCGCGTGCATGTTAATGACATTCGACCAATATTTATTTCATAAACTATGTGCCGTATAATTTTTTTTTGTTGTTTATTCTTTTATTAATTATTATTAATGATATTGTCTACGACTAAATATGATTATGAAGGTTCATGATTTATCATACTAGACGTATGCGCAGCGACTTATATGATATTACATTGATTCCTTATGTTGGTGAAGCTTGATAATAAAATTCGTGCACATTAATTATCAAAATAACAACATCTTCACTAGGATTACATTATCAATAATGATTATTACATAAAAATAAAAAAATAAAAATTATACATTAAAAAAAAAAAAAGAAGGAAAAGAAAAAGATCTAATTTTTTTTCTCTTAACATCAGGTTTTTTTTTCTTGGCAAGAAGTTCTCCTTTTTACTTATGTGCAATTTCATTATTATCTATGGTCACATGTTAACGACATCTTCACATATCGCAGCTTATAATATATTTTCTAGTCCTTTTTAGAACTACTGATACACGCTATGACTCATACGAATATGTTTTCTCCCCATTCTATTGTTCAATCTTACCATTGTTATATTACTTTAGTTCAACATTATTTATTTTTTTATTACTTTAGTATTATTATGTCAGATCAACATGTTCCACATCATTTACGTGATATCGATAACCCACCATCGTATCTTACTGAAGCTCAACAACAAAATTGGATCAGTGCAGCGAAGAAAGCGAAAAAAAATTATCAACGAAAGCAACAATATCCACCGTTTATTGTTCCACCACAATTGTATAATGTGATCCACATACATAAACAGATGAACGGTCAAACTATGGAAATGCTCATCGAACATGTACAACATTGTAATGAATTTACATTTGATACTGAATCGGAAAAATCCAATAAAAAATTAGCATTGATACAAATGTCAATACGAATGCGATTAATTATCATACAACTGCTCCATCATTATCTCGTCCATGTCATTGCCATGAATCAAGTCCTTATCGTATTAATGAAAAATGGTCACTGCAACAAGCAGTTATTTTTATTTATAAAATATTTATCGATAAAAATGAAACCTTTAATCATTGGGCACACGGATTAGATCCTATTGTTTCTACTTTACCAGAAGCAAAACGACTTAGTATGATACGCTATGCGATTTACGATTGTTTTGCGACTACATTATTAGCACGCCCCATTATCGAATATTGGCCCTTTACAAAAATAGAGAATAGTGGCATCACCGAATTATTTCAAAAAGCAAGATCGCCGTTATCGATAAATCCCAACATCACCATTAGCAACATTTATCAAAAATCGCATCAAAAAAGTAAAAAACATATTACCACTAACCTTGAATTAATTTCAGATGACGATGATGATAATGACAATGAAATATATCTCAATCAATGCCGGGCACCTGTCCGACAAGCTCTCCCAACATATGAACCCATATCAGAAGATGAAATAACTATCAATCAACATCATCTATCTACTTGTACGACTCTCCCAATGTATGAGCCAATCTCGGATGATGAGCAATCACAAATTGTTTCACCCGATGCTCCTACACAAGAAATAAATATTCAATCTGAATCAGAAATGAATATTCCACCCGAGCAACCACAACCACCAACGTTAATTTCTTTACATCGGTCGCGTCACAATCGACGAACGGCTACGGCACGACGTCACCGTAATAAAAAAAGAAATGATACTCATCGATCACATCGATATCGTTATTATGTAACTCGCCCCGTACATCATCGTTTTTCCATGGCGTCAATCAAAGTTATCCTCGAACGACACAATATTCGATACACTCACATCAAAATTCGAAACTCATCATTAATCATCGGACTTAAGCACCACCATATGAAACATCAAGCACATCAACAACTGCCTTATGCTACATTTAATCGTTTGCAATATTACGAACATCATCGTCGGTCTCGTGAATCTCGTCATCATCATTCCCATGAATCTCGTCATCATTATTTCTATGAATCTCGTCATTATCATTACCATGATTCTCGTTATCATCGCCATCGCCATCATTCTCGTCATACTCATTATGCAACATGAATTTACCCGGTGTTATTTATGAAACATTTATCATCATGGTATCTTTATTTTTTTTGTTATATTTTTTCTCGTTTGGTTTTCCTTTTTTTTCCTGATTTTCTTCTCATTGTCAGATGTTTCCTGTTATGTAATATATATTTATGTTACTTTCTATTCACACATCTACTTGTTATTTTTTTGATTCTTTTTTCTCCTCGTCAGATTTTTATGATATATCAGGATATATTTCTATATGTTATTTTCTATTTTGTTCTTTCACAGGTATTTCTATTTCTTCGTTATTTTTTCTTTTTTCATGCGTCTTTCTTCATATTTTGTGTTGTGATATCCGCGTAAAAATGTTTGTTTACAAACATTTTTTCTTGATCAGTAAGGGTGTTAGGTCTGACATCTTTACCTAATGTTGGAGGCCAACACTCTCTTGTTGCTTATTTGTTTTTCTCTCGTTCTTGCCCCCCTTTTTGTTTATTGTAAAAGTTAGTTATGTCCTTACATCAATAAAGATAAGTCAGTGACCAGAGACATAACAGTTAAAGAAAACATTGACGCGAAGGATTTTGCTGAGAACGACTAGCTGCTCATTCTACTTTCCGAAGATTTGCTTCTATATGTAGAAGAATAAGATAATCAGGTGAAGATAATTCGCTTTATCTAGAAAAACAAAACGTTTGGTTAATATTTTCGGTTTGAAATAAATCAAACCAAGTGAGGAATCATCCTTAACATCCATTTGACTGTTGAGCCCATTGATATGGAGCTATTGATTGAGAATAAGCACTTGTTTGCATCACTTAGCAAAGATACACTTGTTTACCTACATAAATCGGAAGATTAAATAAAAAACTGTTATATCTGAAGAAAGAATATAGTTCAGAAAAAGTTATTAACATGAAAGAAACAAAAACAGAAGCTACGTTGCACTTAACTTCGAGAAAATTGATGAAGCCATCGACGTGGAGCCATTGATATTGAATGAGCACGTGTTCTTAGAAGCTGTGAAACTTACACTTATTTCTTTAGATAAACAAAATGACTAAATGAAGAAGAATTGTTCTACACAATTTTTCGCACACGTTTTTCCATATAAAAATTAAAATAAAACACCAAATTTAACTTTCATACACTAGAAACTAACATTGAAGTGAAGCATTTCGTTGAGAACAACTAGCTGTTCATTCTAGTTTCCAAAGTTTGCTTCTATATCTATATGAAAAAAACAGTGGCATGTGAATAAATTTTCATATTTAGAAAAAATATTTTGGCTAGTTTTCTATTACCTAAAAAACGACATAAATTAAAAAAAGATTCTCACTTTTGACTGGATTGATGGAGCAACGGATGTGAAGCAATTGATTCATAATGAGTAGAGTCAGGTGACCTAATTCTGCCGTTAAAAAAAATGTTTTTTGTATTTCTTTTATAACTCGAGTTATACATATCGTAGAAAAGTTATTGTTTCTTTCCGAGATAGAATCAGCATTTCTCTATCGAATGATATAAGATTGTTCACAAAATAATAAACGAATCACATCAGAGAAGGGTGACAATAGAGAGGGGGTCAACATTTATTCAATTCTCATGTGTTCCTAATTCAGCCGGTCAATGTATTTTTTTTTCCTAATCCTGCCGATTACATGGAAAACTGCAATAAATTTTAGAAAAAACTTATTATTTTTATGAAGCTGATAGAATATATGTTAGAAAAAATATATCATTCGACTCGTCTTGACATGGGCTATCTAGTGATATGGTTTTCTTAATGATTCATAAACATGATATACATTTTTTTCTTGTGAAAAGAAAAAAAAGTGACCGGCAGAATTTTTTCCTGTTCTTAATTCTGCCGCTCACGTAATTTCTGTTCCTAATGCTGCCGAAGTAATGAAAAATACATAGAACTGTAAAATATAAGCACGCGCGTGCTATATTGACTAGACAAAATCACTATCATTCTTATATCATTCAATAGCTCTACCCGGCAGCTACGTCCCCATATGAAATTAACGTACAGTACAACTAGTTATAGTCGTTTTTTCCTAGCTACATTCAAACAAAAATTTCACCAAATTAAATCAAATTTTATTTTCGTAATAAAAAAAGCGTAAATCTAAATTTTCAAAGTACAACTAGATAAAGTAACAACGTTCAAATAAAAATTTATCGAATAGTACAATGAATCAAACGAAGTAGATAAGGTTTATTTACAGAAAGCAATTATAAAATAGTGGTTTGTTGATCATCGACGATTAGTTGAGTTTCTGTAATAGCCAAATCCAATTGGCGTCGAACATTTGATTCATAGTCCATATCATCATCATTTTCTTGTTCACTGTCGATGCCAATTATTTTGTTTTTTTTTCTTTTTGTTGGACGTTTGGGTTTTGTGTTTAATTTCTTCTTTTTATTCTTTCTCCCTGTTTGTTTCGTTTTACTGGAAGCCTTTTCTTGCATCATTTTTACAAAATCTTCATCAGTGATATTTACACCTGTAGTATTGTTTAATCGTGATGCTCGAGAAGTAGTTGCTGTTGCAGTTGTCATTTGATATTGTTGTTTTTGATCGTCCAATAAACCAACAAGAACTTCACGCACTGCATCTATAGTTTGAACAACCTGGTTTTTCTTTTTCTTTTGTTCGTTTTGCTCTAAATAAAATGTAGAAAATTGTTTTTGGAAGATATTCATTTTAAGTTACCTTTTAATAACATCGACACAGGCTGATTAATCAGGTTTATTATTGGTTGTGGTTCGAATTTTGATTGTGTTTCAAGCATAGATATATTTAAATCAATGGTATTTAAAACAGTATATGTTGAACCAGTAAACGATGGAATTTCACGATCATCAATAAATATTGGTTCGATGGGTCTTATTCGTTGAATATCAGTTAATATATGTTGTTGTTGTTGTTGTTTTGTACTTGTATCGTCGACACTCATGATATCAGAACTTAATGTTTCAACAGTTGATTCAATATTTGATGTAATGGATAATTCTGATGATAATGACGTTGTACATGATGAATGAACGACTGATGAATGTGAAGGCGGTATAAGAATATTTGTTGGTGATGGTGCCGTTTGGTTGATTGTTGAAGTCGACAATGAAGAAAATGCAGGAGTTACTACTTTGTCCACCATAGCGTGTTCATTGAACGGCCATATACCTATAACCGATGAAAAAATGAATCAAATCTAATCACCATTCGAAGAGCAATTATACATCTTTAAAAAAAAATGATTTAGTGCAATAATCTTATAGCTCGCGAGATTCTTTTTACTAGATAAGATGCAGATAAAATCCATTGGCATAAGTAAACGACTACACTTATTTCACGCTAATATTACATAGAAATACTAAGCATTGATAATGTAAAGCTCACCTGAACGTGAAAACGAGGATACTATTCGAGTAGTTGAAAAAGATTGTTTTTCAATAAATAGACGTTTCATCAGACGAGGAATATCTGCATTTCTGATTGACTTGTGACCACTTTTGAAATAATTTTTTACGATGTCGCACCAATCAATTTTAACATTGTTAAATAGTACAACATCAATGGGTTGAAGACTGTGAGTACAATGTGGAGGAAGAATCAAGCAAGCAATGTTGTGTTGCTTCATCAAATTTATAATATTCAAATTGACATGTGCATTATGGCCATCCATAATAAGTAAAACAGGTCGATTGAGATGTGCAGTAGCTGGAATAAACATTTCTTTGAGCCAATATTCAAATGAACACGAGTCAATCCAACCCTAGCTTAGATAAATACAGATTAGAAAACAATAGATATTATATTTAATTGCCTTTTTTGTGACTGCATAGCGTGATCCATCGGGTCCACCTTTGCACCATACGTTCATTAATGTTTTACCAGCATATACAATAAACGGCGAAATCACTTGACCAGCTGCACTAATAGCAATTAATGCAGTAGTATGGTGTTTACCACCACCACCATCTTTTTCAAAAACATGTCGAGTAGTTGAGGTTACAATCACGTGTTGACCTAAAAATATGTATGGAAATTAGCACAATTCTTTTGAAAAATGAACTTACGTTTAGTTTTATCAGAAAAGCCAGTTTCATCACAATTGAATATTTGAGCTGGTTTGTCCATAAGATCAAGTTTTATTAACGTCGATTTCAATAAAGAAAACCAAGATTTTCTAGTTTGTTCAGTAAATTTTTGTGCTCCAATTTTCTCCATTTTTTCTTCTTTTTTCCATTTCACTTCTGTCCTATGACGTTTAATGAACAGCTTTAACCATTTACGACGTGGTACAAACGATAAACCAATTGACTTAAAATATTCATTTGACAATTTTAATGCAACATTTGCAGTTATTGTGAATCCAAATTCTGGTAATAATTTGAATAACGAGACAAGATAATCTTCCTGTTCATCGTTCAAATAACGAGGACGACCGCCACCAATTTTTTGATCAGGTTTTTGACGGTGGGCACGGATAGTTCTTTCAGGAACATTAAATTCATTGGACGCTACAACTGAACTTAGATCACTATTGATAGCATCGATCAATTTCTGTACCGGATATTTCATAGCCAGAATGAAACAAATTACATATAACAAAAATCGAAATACAAAAATAAATTTTCAAAATATCTGAAAAAGAAATATTGATTTTATAACCGAAACATGCGTTTAACTAAAATACAGAAATAATCAGAAGCTATTGTTGCATCAGTCAGAAAGAAAAAAAAGAAAGCACCTGTCGACAGAGAGACGTCGTTAACTAACACTTTGATATTCGTTTCAATCAACTTCGACA